CGCCCAGGCAAAGCTCACCTTCTGAGCCCCAGAGAAAGCGTGATAGAAGCAGGAGACGTAGGTCATGATGGCCTTCTCATCGGGCCTGAGCGTGCCTACAATATCTGCGCAGGAGGAAAGAGAAAAAAAAGGGAAGCAAAGTCAAGGGCACAATGCAAGATCGTCCCGGCTCCCCCTCTGGCATGCAGCAGAGGAGGGGTGGGGCAAGCCTTTTGCTCCAGACAGGGACCCAAACCTCAGCTGGGACAGGGCTCTGCAGAAATAAACGTCACCCTTGATTCGGCCAGCCCTGCAAACTCTCCAAGATACCTCTCCAAAGGACTCTCTGCTCTGCTCCTAAGAGCTCTTAGGACTGCAAGACAACTGGTTCGCTGTGCAACTCGGTGCCTCTTTACTCAAAAGGAATCGCTGGTGTGTTTGACGGGGCTTACACCCTAAGGGAGTGTATTTACAAAACACCAAAGCCTCAGTTGATGCATCGGTGGGGCTGCCCAATTTTAACCGGTTGAGCTTAGAGTTCACGGGTTCCCTTGCTTATTTTGAGAAGCTATTTTGGTTCCGGCGTGTTACTGTAATAACGAAAGGGAGGCAGCTTCTTTTGATTAAATCACAAGTTCTTGCACTTCCTTCAGCCTCTCAAAAGGGCATCTGAAGTGAGGCTTTGCAAATATATTCCAGAAGTACAGGAAAACAAATATATTTGAATATAATTTGCACATATAAGTTGTAAGAAGGTGGATGATTAATCCATGAAAATGCTGATTGCTTGGCAGCCCTCCCTGAAACCCGGCAGACCAAGTGGCTTTAACTCCAACCGTTGGGAGTCTCCCAAGTAATATTTAAAAGCAAAGAGATTTCTGGCTCATTATGATCTCGTGTTGAACCCTGAATGTCAGACCCTGAGCTAGCTGAGGTTTGGGTTCCCAATGTTCTGCAAGTAGCTGCCCTTGGCACGAGAAGTCAGGAGAGCAACAGGGCGCTGGAAGGAAGAGGAGCTGTTAACAGTAGAGGCTCGGCCACGTCTGGTACCTTCTGAGCGCCAGAGAAGGCATGGTAGAAACTGGAAACATAGGTCATAATGGCCTTCTCATCGGGCCGGGCCGTGTTGACAATGTCTGAAAAGCGAACAAGAAGCATTAACGATACCAGGAGGCAAAACTCTCCCCCGTCCCCTGTTCCTTGATGGTCTGCTGGTTCTAGCAAAATCTGCCACAGCTCTGATGTCCACCTGTAGGCAAAGATTGAGTCCGGGGAAAGTTAACGCCAAGAACCCAATGTTACAAGTTACCAAGTGAGCCAGAACTGGAAGTTAACTTGTCCAGCATGGAACTGAAGCCAAGGATCTGAGATTTATACTGCCAGAGCTCAAGGCTGCGCACACAACTGATGTGAAGGCCTATTAAAGGCTGAAGAGTTTTTACGACTTTGCAGTGGCTGCTCGCTTGCCCTTTCCTCCAAAGAAGAACTTTGAATGCAGAGATTGTGCCAGGCATGTCTAATAAAACTCTGCGGACACCCACTGGAATCCGAGTGCTCCTGTTTGTTTCAGGGTGTGGCTCCCTCGCTGCGGGGCTTTTCCTGCCCTCATCCCAGGGCACCAGGGAGAAAGGCCTGCATTATATGTTCAAAGTGCTTTAGAAAGGAATGCTACGGAAGCAGAACAAAACAGCGACAACAGGGGTTTGCTCCACTAGCTGTCAGTCCCGTGAACTGAAGGCCACACTAGCGTCTGATTGGCCAGCAGCAGACCGGTCCTCCCCCTCGGCTCCATCAATTCACAAGCAAAGTATGAGCTTGGAGGAGCCTGGCAGAACTTCCCCCATGGCTCCTTAAGGAGGCCCATGGCTCACTTCAGAAACCAGGGGTGGGATTCGCCATCCATAGCAGGGGTGGGGAAACTTTGGCCTTCCAGAGGTTGCTAAACTTCAAGTCCCATCATGCCTTGCCACTGACCACGGCTGCTTGAACTGATGGGAGTCATAGTTTAGAAATATCCAGAGGGCAAATGTGTCCTCCTCACCCCCCGTGATCTAGAACCTGAGCAAGATCAGTCAGACTGAGTCGTGAGCCAGGTTCCCCGCCTCTCTGGACCTGGGAAATCTGTCTGCAGACAAATACAGGCCCATTTGGCTACTTACCTCTCTCGCCCTGACCTAGCCACTGTGATCCACGCGACGGTCACCTCCAGACTTGATTATTGTAACTCACTCTACGTGGGGCTGCCCTTGAAGCTGACCCAGAAACTCCAGCGGGTGCAGAACACCGCGGCGAGACTCCTTACAGGGTCCTCGCTGTGGGATCACATTCACCCAGTGCTATACCAGCTGAACTGGCTCCCGGTGGAGTACAGGGTCAGGTTCAAGGTGCTGGTTTTAACCTTTAAAGCCGTATAGGGCCTAGGACCCTCGTACCTACGGGACCGCCTCTCCTGGTATGTCCCACTTAGGACCTTACGGTCTTCAAACAAAAACATCTTGGAGATCCCGGGCCACAAGGAGGTTAGGCTGGCCTCAACCAGAGCCAGGGCTTTTTTGGCCGTGGCCTCGATTTGGTGGAACGCTCTATCACAAGAAACTAGGGCCCTGTGGGTCTTGACATCTTTCCGCAGGGCTTGCAAGACAGAGCTGTTTCGCCTGGCCTTTGGCCAAGGCACAGTCTGACCCCCCTCCTTTGGTAATCCCCACAGAACTCTAGCCCAATGGTTGCCATTAATTTGATTCTGAATTGATTTTAGAATGAAATGATTTTAGAATGTATTTCAATTAATTGATTGTGATTTTATGTAAACTGTGTTACTTTTACTGATGTTAGCCGCTCTGAGCCCGGCTTCAGCTGGGGAGGGCGGGATATAAATAAAATGTTATTATTCTTCTTATAAGGTGGCAGAGTTCTGAGCAAAGAGACTGTACCACTTCGCATGGGGAGACTCGTTCTTTTAATACTCTGTGTAAAAGCAAAACTCTCCACGCACAAACCCTCCACAGTACACCAGGGACGAAGGCAGCTGGATAAAACCTCTCCCCAACTTTTCGACTTTCAGGAAGTTGCAAAGAAGGGGAATGTCTGAAATGCAACCGCACCACTTGCAGCCTTAAGCGGTACAGTCCCTTCTGCCTCAGGACTCCGCCGCCTACAATTTCTGCATCGGGAGTGCGGCAGATCTGATCTGGCAAGTTACTTTGTCCCAGAGGAATTTGGGCTTTGCAGTTCGGGGTGTGTGTGTGGAGGGTCTGGGCTGCTAAGTCAAGTCAGCCCGACGGAAGGAGCGTCAGCGACTCTCAGCAAGGCAGCGAACCCAAGGCAATGCTCGACAGCTCTCTTGGGCTTCCGCAGCCCAGCCCTACTAAGGGAACTGCAGACCAGGGAGCGCCAAAAACCTCTTCCTCTGGGAATCGGTTGCATTGCAACGCTGTTACGAAATTTGCTTCTTGGAACCGAACACCCGAGCCCACGCTCCGAGAGCAGCCTCCAGCTTACCTTCTGCATCCAACATCTTGGGAATGTCGAGGTATTTCTCAGCGACCTCAAAAGCGTTGTTCAGATTCGTGACTGGATCATCCTGGGGAGAATTGGGGAGGGGGGTGTCAGAGAGGCACAGCTGTTAGAACTGGTGCCGTCCCAAAGCCGAATCGCAACCCTGCCCTGCCCTGCCCTGCCGGCTGAGAAGGAACATCCAAAGGAGAAAAGTCTTCCCCTGCCCCCCTACAAGCAGCTACTGGATGGATGGCGGCCAACAGATTGAGGTTGAATCCTGACAGAAGTACTGTTTTGGGGGGACAGGGGGTGGGCGGGTGTGGGGGACTCCCTGGTCCTGAATGGGGCAACTGTGCCCCTGAAGGACCAGGTGCGCAGCCTGGGAGTCATTCTGGACTCACAGCTGTCCATGGAGGCGCAGGTCAATTCTGTGTCCAGGGCAGCTGTCTACCAGCTCCATCTGGTACGCAGGCTGAGACCCTATCTGCCCGCAGACTGTCTCGCCAGAGTGGTGCATGCTCTGGTTATCTCTCGCTTGGACTATTGCAAAGTGCTCTATGTGGGACTACCTTTGAAGGTGACCCGGAAACTACAACTAATCCAGAATGCGGCAGCTAGACTGGTGACTAGGAGCGGCTGCCGATAGCATATAACACCGGTCCTGAAATATCTTCATTGGCTCCAGTACGTTTCCGAGCACAATTCAAAGTGTTGGTGCTGACCTTTAAAGACCTAAATGGCCTCGGTCCAGTATACCTGAAGGAGCGTCTCCACCTCCATCGTTCTACCCGGACACTGAGGTCCAGCGCCGAGGGCCTTCTGGCGGTTCCCTCACTGTGAGAAACCAAGTTACAGGGAACCAGGGAGGGCCTTCTCGGTAGTGGCACCCGCTGAGCTGGACCTCAGTGTCTGGGCTGGACGATGGGGGTGGAAACGCTCCTCCAGATATACTGGGCCTTTGAGGGCTTTAAAGTTCAGCACCTTTGTGCTCAGAAACGTACTGGGAGCCAATGTAGGTCTTGGGATCCCGGAAGGTGTAATTTAAGGGTGATGGGAGAATTTAGGAGGCTCCTCTTCCCCTCCCAGAGTTACAGCTCCTGCAATTCTTCTTTACGTGGAACTCTTGGAACTGTAGCTTGGTGTGGGGAACAGGGAGAGAGGGAGATTTCCGAACAACACTCAGCACCCTTCACAAACTACAGTTCCCAGAATTCTTTGGGGGAAGCCAGGACTGTACAAAAGTCATGGTACAGGGTGCTTTTAAATGGATGGTGCAAATGCGGTCTTTAATTCCACAAAAGAGCCCTGCAGCCCAATATGAGTGTTAGGGCTTTTCACACACCCTCCTGACTACCACCTTGGCTTTCCCCTCCATGGCATTTTAGCTCAGGGGGGAAAAAATGCTTTGCCACCTTTAACCCTGAGGCCGGTCGCTGCCATTCTCACATTACAGATGAGGAGATTGCGACTCGCCCCAGATTGCCCAGGGAGATCCTGGCTGAAGTGGGATTTGAATCTGAGCTCTCAGGTGGCACAACGGCTCAGTGCGTCCGGCTGTTAAGCAGAAGGCTGGTGGTTCAAGCCCACTCAGGGATAGCTGCGGGGAGAATTCCTGCATTGCAGGGGTTGGACTAAATGACCATCCTGGGTCCCTTCCAGCTTACAATCCTGTGATCTCACTCAAGCCAGTGACTCATGCTCATTTCTGGACTGGATTCTGGGGAGAGCATGTAGGACACAGCTAAAAACACAAATAGCAACGCTACTACTACTAAAACTCAATTTCGAGTCCAAAATGAGGGAGGAAGGAAGGAGCTGCTGTCGCCAACATACCTTTCTGAGCTTGTCATACTCAATGAGTTCTGGTCTGTGTCTGTGGATCAAGGCATTAAAAGCAAGGCCGTCTTTCCAGCTGTAAAAAGAAGCCCAAGGATACAGTTAGATTGCTTGGCTGTCCAAGAGGGGAAACTGCAGCTTCAGGGCAGCATTCCTCAAAATTGCAAGGCCTGCCCCCCCCCCCTTCGGACAGGAGGGTGCTTTTCAGTACAGTAATGCTGTACTGGTTTTAACACTTGATTGGGAGCCGCCCAGAGTGGCTGGGGAAACTCAGCCAGATGGGCGGGCTATAAATAATAAATTATTTTATTTTATTTTATTTTATTTATTTTTATTTTTATTTTTATTTTTATTTTTATTTTTATTTTTATTATTATTATTATTATGGTACCTCGGGTTAAGCAATTCATTCAGGAGGTCTGTTCTTAACCTGAAACTGTTCTTAACCTGAAGCACCACTTTACCTAATGGGGCCTCCCGCTGCCGCCGCGCTGCCAGCACACAATTTCTTTTCTCATCCTGAAGCAAAGTTCTTAACCAGAGGTACTATTTCTGGGTTAGCAGAGTCTGTAACCTGAAGCATATGTAACCTGAAGCGTATTTAACCTGAGGTACCACTCTAGTATTATTATTATTATTATTATTATTATTATTATTATTTTCACAAAAGGGTAGCAAAGAAAGGGCAGAACCAAGCAAACTTCAAGAGAGTCACTAAAAAGTAAGAATGCAAGAGCCCTGCTGGGCTGCACTCAGGGTTCGTTCAGACCAGTGGCCAAGCCACTGGGACGCCGACACGCAGGGTCTGAAGCCCACAGCCTGTTCCTGCCTATTTCCCTTCAATGTGGGGGTGCCACACAGCCATCGTAACCACAGACAAGCCCCCCTGCAACCTCTTCCGAGGATTTGCCTGTTCTCCTTCTCAAAGGCATCTAAGCCACCACAACATTATGGGGGTTGCATCCCAAGTGACGCCTCCCGTCAGCACATGGACTTTCCCCGCCCTCAATGCTAAACCTGTTCTAAAGATTCCCCCAACCCTCCAGAGCAGATTTGGGGCATGCAAGGTAAAGGTAAAGGACCCCTGGATAGTTAAGTCCAGTCAAAGGTGACTCTGGGGTTGCGGCGCTCATCTCGCTTTCAGGCCAAGGGAGCCGGCGTTTGTCCACAGACAGCTTTCCGGGTCATGTGGCCAGCAGGACTAAACCGCTTCTGGCGCAACGGGACACCGCGATGGAAACCAGAGCACACGCAAATGCTGTTTACCTTCCTGCCACAGTGGTGCCTGTTTATCTACTTGCGCTGGCGTGCTTTCAAACTGCTAGTTTGGCAGGAGCCAGGACAGAGCAACAGGAGCTCACCCCATCGTGGGGATTTGAACTACCGACCTTCTGATTGGCAAGCCCAAGAGGATCAGTGGTTTAGACCACAGCGCCACCCGCATCCCTACAGGGCATGCATGGAGTGGGGGAGACGACCCCATTTCACAAATGGAAATCCTTGTGTTGATGAGAGGTGTTCCTTGGGTGCTGCCCTTTGGCCAGAGAACTCTTCTGAGTCAGTTCCTTGCCCTGGGTGGCAGATCTGCCTTCCCCTGCCCAGAACCCATTTATTTCAGTGGGTGATTCACTTTTCACCCAGCACATATCATTCCACCAGCCTCTGCCCACCACTCTCCTCCCCAAGACCCATTATTCCTAAAATATCCATCTAGTCACGGCCTCTCATCCGCACAAGATAACCTGCCAGCCTCTTAAAGGTTCCCAGCGAGCTACTTTGGAGTCCACACATCGCAGGTCTTTGGCTCGAGCAGGAAGCACAAAGGCCTCTGCTATTTGATGGGCTGGTCTGCCGGATTTTTAATGGGGAGCCATCCTCATGAAGCCATTTCTTGCAGCCTTCGAGACGCACCAAGGCTTTCTGGCCGGAGAGTGGAAATGCTGCCTCTTTGTTTGGGAAAGGCAAGGCCTGGTGGCTCGCCGAGTGCCTATGCCCCAACTGGTCAGAATCGTACAGTTGAAAGGGACCCCCCGGGGCATCCAGCCCAACCCCCTGAAATACAGGGGTAGCAGCTGAAGAATCTCCACTTTTCGAAGGAGCGTGTTCCACTGTCAGAACAGCTTGTGTTTAGTTGGAATCTCCTTTATCACACTTGGAATCCATTGGTTCTTAGCTGGGATAGCTCAGCCGGCAAAGCACGGAGCTCTGAATCTCATGGGTCATGGGTTCGAGACCTGAGTTGAGCAAAATATTCCTGCATTGCAGGGGGTTGGACTAGATGCCCTTTGTGGTACCTCCCAACTCTAAGATTCTTTCACAGTTTGCATCTTACCCTCTAGAGCAGCAGAAAACAAGCTTTGCTCCCTCTTCCATGGGACAACCTTTTAGATATTAAAGGTAAAGGTAAAGGGACCCCTGATCATTAGGTCCAGTCGTGGCCGACTCTGGGGTTGCGGCGCTCATCTCGCTTTACTGGCCGAGGGAGCCGGCATACAGCTTCCGGGTCATGTGGCCAGCATGACTAAGCCGCTTCTGGCGAACCAGAGCAGCTCACGGAAACGCTGTTTACCTTCCCACCGGAGCAGTACCTATTTATCTACTTGCACTGGTGTGCTTTCGAACTGCTAGGTTGGCAGGAGCAGGGACCAAGCAACGGGAGCTCCCCCCGTCATGGGGATTCGAACCGCCGACCTTCTGATCGGCAAGTCCTAGCCTCTGTGGTTTAACCCACAGCGCCATTCTATCTCTTCTCACTCTCCTCCTTTCCAGTCTAAACATGCCCAGCTTCCTCATCTGCCCCTCCTAAAGGTTGGTTTCCAGGCCCTCGATCATCTCGGCTCCCCAAGGTTACCTTATGTGGAAGTTCTGTACGTTGACGTTCTTGTAGGGCGCAGTCTTCCTCTGGCACCAGAGCAACAGGCCTTCCTTGGCCGAAGTCTCTGCAGGACGAAGGGGAGAAAGAAGAGAGAGGAGGTGATGGCGCCGTCTTTGGCAGGACAGGTCACCTGGCGTGGGGGGGCGGGGGGCTGAAGCTAAGGCAGCAACAGGAATGGGACGGAGCCAAGACAACATCTCCAAACCTAAGGGTCGAAGGCCAACGTTGCACAAGGCTCTTGGGCTCTTCCATGGGGGGAAAAAGTTGTACAGAATGCCCCGAGAGATGCATTTCAGGCACTTTGTGCACATGGTCTCCCCAAAACAATGGTAACTGTCATAAACAAAATTCAACATTGCGTTTTTATACAGGCATTCTCCCGCTTGTGCATGGAACTGGGAAGCAACCCAATAATTCAATTCAAACTGGGAAATGGCAGGAGAGAGCTGGGGAGTCCCCGTGGCTCGCAAAGGCACTGACGTCCAGCTCCGAGGGCCTTCTGGCGGTTCCCTCCCTGCGAGAAGCCAAGTTACAGGGAACCAGGCAGAGGGCCTTCTCGGTGGTGGCGCCCGCCCGGTGGAACGCCCTCCCACCAGATGTCAAAGAGAAAAACAACTACCAGACTTTTAGAAGACATCTGAAGGCAGCCCTGTTTAGGGAAGCTTTTAATGTTTAATAGATTATTCTATTTTAATATTCTGTTGGAAGCCGCCTAGAATGGCTGGGGAAACCCAGCCAGATGGGCGGGGTATAAATAACAAATTATTATTATAATATTATTATTAAGGAGACCCTCCCTGGAGCCCAAAGAGGACGTGTGCAAGGGGCAGAGGAAGCCCCGAAGAGCCTGGAGGCACAGCGGGGCTTTGTATATGCTACTCCATCTCCTCGCCTGGCATCGCAGCACCAGTCTTTCATCATCCTCCAGCCTCCTGCCAGCCCCAGAGCTTCAGTTCTAGTTGCCAATATTTCTGGATACAGTATGAGTTGAAGAGAGAGTGATAGAGCGGGTGTCTTAAGGATGTTTAGAGGGCGCTCCCCACTTTGTGCAATGTCACCTATGCGCGTGGGGGCCCAGAACGTAACCCCCACGCAAGTGGGAAGCTGCCTGTTGTTGTGATCTGCCCAGGGACAGATCCAAGCGGGGAACGGTCTGGGGGAAATGACCCTTTCCTATAAAGCAGCCTCCCCCAAGCTGGCGCCCTCTGGGTGTTTTGGACGATGGGAGGCAGAGTTCAAATCATCTAGAGGGCACCAGCTTGGGGGAGGCTGCAACGAAGCGCTTGCAAAACTAGTACCCTGAACAGGTACAGGCCCATTTGAGTTTTTGCTAAGGAAAACGCCGCCAGGTGCCCCGAATCCTTAACCCGTGTTTGCTGTCACTTGTGCAGAAGGGAAGGGGTGGCGGCTGTTGTGGGTGGGGCATCTGCAGGGGAGAAGAAGTGGCAAGCAGGATAGGAAGGTGAGCTCACACCCACGCAGCCCCCCCCCCCAAATATGGCATGTTTTGGAAAAAGAAAGAAAAAGAAAAAGCTCTCTTGCTTGTGCCTGAGCTGGGAATAAAACAGCTGAGGTGCATAAGATCAGGTGCGAATTTGAGTTCTTAGGTACTGGGGCTGCACTGGGGCCCAGGCAGAAAGCCATGGGGGGAAGTATTGGGCTCCCCCCCCCCAAAAAAAAGCCTCTGGCTGCCTAATGGCTGCTTGGCAGGTATTCCCAAGGCAGGCATTTGCCAAGGAGCCTGAGCCACGCGCTCAATAAAGTCAGTGAGGGTTACTGCAACCGACTTGAGCAGCTGCACGGTGCATGATTAATTGTCGTTGGTCTAGCGGGAAAGAGGAAGCGGTTGAAGGCGTGGGCACCGTCGTGGATCACCGCAAGTCCG